GGACACGAGGGACTCGGACACTACAAATTTTCTGTACGAACCCCGACTCCGGCGAGCTAGGCCGAGCACCCCAAAAGAGGGTCGTTACAAGCTATACAATATAACTCCAGAGTAGCTGCAGAAAAGGAAACTGAAAAAAATTGAGTGGCATTTTATCCCGCCGGCAGGACCTCACTTTGGAGGTATTTGGGAAGCGGGTGTTAAATCCGTTAAATATCATTTAAAAAGAGTGATTGGGGATAGTATATTGACATACGAAGAAATGTCAACCCTTTTATGCCAAATCGAAGCAGTACTGAATTCTAGGCCGCTATATACAACGGGAGAAGACGTGGATGATAATGAAGTGCTAACGCCAGGGCATTTCTTAATAGGTCGACCAACGTTGGATATAGTGGAGGCAGTTGAAGAAAATGAAAAAATTTCGAGCCTAGATAGGTGGAGGTTAATTCAAAAAATGAAAAGAGATTTTTGGGTCAAATGGAAAGAGGATTATTTATATACCTTACAGCAAAGATATAAATGGAAAAAAGGTAGTCAAAATATAGAAAAAGGGCAAATAGTGCTTTTAAAAGATGAAAACTGTCACCCAGCCAGATGGCCAATGGCAAAAGTAGAAGAAGTTCATAAAGGCAAGGAACAATAAAGTTAGAGTTGTCAAAGTAAAAACCTCAGAAGCATCATTGACGAGGCCGATTACAAAGATTTGTCCTTTAGTTGGTGTACAACAAGCTGAGGATGCAACCACAACTCGGACCGTAAGCCATAAAAAAAGAGTTTCCCCTAGGTTATCTAAACTAGGGAGTATAGTGATACTGACTTTGATTGCTTTAGTTTGTCAGGTATCCAGTGCTTCAGCTATGAAACCCAAAAAGAATGTGTTTGAGGTACAAAAGATAAATAGTACTGCGGCAATATATTTAGATCCACTAGGAGATGTGGAAATTGTAAGTACATCTTGGAATTTAGTGATCTATTATAACATGGATGCATATTTCAAGATGATTTCAAAAGGAAAAGCGCTGATAGGGGAAATGAGAAAAGTTTGTGACAAGCTTCATAGCTTTGAAGACCAATGCCATCTAGTTTTAAATAATATGCAAAATCAGTTATTAGAACTAGAAGAGAATAATAAATTATTCATGATGCAACCAAGATCCAGAACCAGGCGTGCTCCTTTCGAGTTTATGGGTTCATTGTATCATATTTTATTTGGTATAATGGATGAGGACGACAGGGAACAATTGGAAGAAAATATGAAAAACTTATTAGACAATCAAAGGAACATTGATCAATTAGTTCAAAAGCAAACTTCGATTGTTGATTCAACTACTAATTTATTAAAAAGAACAACCGAGGACGTTAACGCCAATTTTAGGAGTATGCAAATAAGAATTGAGAACATGACAGAAGTTCTTAAGGAGAATTACTATGTGTACAAAGAATCGATAAAATTCTTTATGGTAACCAAACAGCTTCAATCATTGATTGAAGAAGGTGAGAAAGTCCAATCAGGGATTATAAACCTTTTAATAGATATTAATCATGGTAGGCTGAATACAAACATCCTTAGGCCAAATCAGCTTAAAAGTGAGATTGCAAAAATTCAGGAAAATCTGTCGGAAAATCTAATAATTCCAGGGAAGAGGTCAGGTACGGAACTTAAGGAGGTATATACTTTATTGACAGCAAGGGGATTATTTATAGAGAATAAATTAATCATCAGTGCAAAGGTGCCTTTGTTTAGTAGGCATCCGTCTAAGTTATTCAGGCTAATTCCGTTGCCTATTAGGAATATAGAACAAATGATAATGGTACAGCTAACTTCCGAATATTTGATTTATAATTTTGAAATCGATTCGTATCATTTAATGAGTGAAGCAACCTTAAATCAATGTCAAAAATGGCAACAAGGTAAAAGGATATGCAAGGGAAGTTGGCCCTGGAACTCCGCGAATGACAACGCATGTGAGGTTCAACCATTAAAACCAAATAGAGCTTCGAATTGCGTATATAAGACAATAGTTGGTTCTACAAGTTACTGGGTAGAATTAGAAAAGAAAAGTAGTTGGCTGTTTAAGGTTCCGCTTAATACCAAAATAAGGGTGCAGTGTACTGGCTCTCAAATGGAGTTGTGTGAGCTGCCTGAGCAAGGGATCTTCAGTATTGCGTCATATTGTACTGCAAGAACAGATGACAAGATTTTAATAGCACATCATAATATTCAATCAGAAAGTGAACAGATTCTGTCAACACCATACATAGGAGAAGTTAGTGAAGTTCCTAAAATTATGTGGGATCCGTTGAAACTAACCCCATTAAATCATACGATTGAAATTGATAAATTAAAAAAAGAAATTAAAGATCTTAAAGGAAATCATCCACAATTGAAGGATTTGCATTTCCATCATATTTCCGGACACGCTGGGCTTATATTTTCATTGATAATTATAGCAGTTTTAATAATATATTTTGTAAAGAAATGTTTGATTAGGCAAAGATTAGAAGCCATAACATTCGCCGGCCCGTTGCCAGGAATTTAATGTCAAATAATTGAGTAAAAGATATATATAAATATGTTAAAAATTATACAAATTTACAGTCCACTAGATTATTGTTTGCACAAATGTCCAAAGTAGAATAAAATATATTGGTAACTAAATGTCAAGCTTGCCGGGCCTTTGGCAGAATGTTTATAAGAACACTATTATATTTATTATTAAGAAAGACAAAATAAAACGAATGTTAATTTAAGAAATAAGAAAATCTAATGTTTAAAAGGAAATATAACTAATCAAAAAGAGAAAGACTTAAGTTGAAATTAAAGAAATTAAATGAGATAAATAATTACAGTCCACTAAATCGTTGAAGCAATTATACATAAGCAATAAATTATGTAAATCTTATGTCAGTTTTGCCGGCCTTTGGCAGAATGTTCAGAAAGAACACACGAAAAGTATATACATAGATAAGATGCATATGTTAGGTACTAAATATTTGCAGCTATGTACTGCATTTGTCTATCTATAAGTACATCCGCCACTTGGGCCTACGTAAATACAAGCAACCCGAAATATGACCTCCTGCGAGCGGTCTGGGTTTGTTTAAGATACCATATGTGCTATCGGAGTAAATGTGTGCTCCCTTATCGCACTTAGAGTATTACCCACGATCGGGAACTGTCCGATGCGTGGGTCTAGAACTAAGATCAATAATGTACATTCTCATGTTAGCTATTTAAGATAGGATTTGAAAGAAATAAATTCAGTTTGAAATATCAACTCAACAACGTCAGACGCTCGTTTTATTTACAGCCTCTCTCGACACCATGGAAGCTGTGCGTTGGGTCGGATTACCGCCAACGCGTCCTCGAGGAATGCCATGACCACCCAACCGCCGGACACTTGGGAATCCGGAAAACTAGTAATCGCGTGGCTCAGCGATACTATTGGCCGGGTTTATTCCGCGACATCGCGCGCTATGTTCGTCACTGTACGAGTTGCCAGAAATTCAAGGTAAGCCAGGAGAAACCTGCGGGGATGATGTTCACCCGCCAGGTCGACGAGCCATTCCAGGTTCTCTGCGCTGACTTCGTTGGACCGCTTCCACGATCGAAGCAAGGCAACACCATGCTGTTGGTGTTTCTGGATGCCTTCAGCAAGTGGGTGGAGTTGGTGCCACTGCGGAAAGCCACTGGAGCACAACTTGAACGCGCCTTTCGGGAACGGATCCTGAGCAGATTCGGAGTACCGAGGACCTTCGTCTGCGACAACGGCACGCAGTTCACAGGTCGATCTTTCCAGAACTTCTGAAAAACGCTGGGCATGGAGCTGCAGCACACGGCGCCGTATACGCCAAGGCAGAACCCGACGGAGAGAGCCAATAGGACGATCAAGACAATGATCGCCCAGTACCTGGATGGAGGCCCGCAAAATACATGGGACCAGCTGTTGCCGGAAATCTCCCTGGCCATCAACAGTAGTGTCTCCGACACAACAGGATTTAGCCCAGCTTTCCTGACGCAGGGGCGAGAACCGAGGCTGCCACGGACTCTATACGACGAGCTCACACCAGGACGAGGCACCCCAGAGGTGGCCCCAACGGACCGAAGCCAACAGCTAAGGGACATCTTCCGAGTGGTGCGAGACAACGCTGAACGCGCTACGGCGGATCAGGGCCGACACTACAATCTGCGCCGACGGACTTGGAAGCCGCCTGTAGGATCTCTAGTGCTAGTGACGCGCCATGCACTCTCCAACGCGGCTGAAGGATTCGCCGCCAAACTGGCCGCGAGATACGAGGGACCCTTCCGAGTGGCGAAGTTCCCTTCACCAAACATCGTCCAGCTACACGTACCCGGCAGCCGCCGACGTCGTACTGCGAGTTTGGGACAGCTGAAACCCTACCGACAGGGAGAAGCAGATGACCACGCCGAAGGCGCGATCGATGACAGCGACTACGAGGAAGACCACGCCAAGGACACGCACAGCCCAAAGCAGTCAGACGCCACCGACACGAGCCCTGGGGAGTACCACCCCACTCCACGCCGCCGCCACTAAGCCACGCCCAGATCGAAAGATGGCCATGTTCAGAGGGGCTGCTGACAGGCGCGCCTGTCGAACGCTCCTACCCCTCTAGGGGGGAAACATGTGCCCTCTCTTTCGCAAAAACAAACTTAGAAATCGAGCAACTCTCGGTTGGGTAGGGTCCTTCGAAAGCGCCCCCCTAACAACGCCGTCTATTTTGCTCTTTTCTCTCCACAGACACATCGATCACTACGCAGCACGAACGCACACAGTACACCAGACTGCGGCAGAGCAACATCGCTAGCAACAGCAACAGAGACGCGACCCACCGCCCACAGGCAACCGCCAGCGAGCACACGCCCGCATCCTCGAGGATCCAGCGCACGGCAGCGCTGAACACACGCGCATCGCATCTCGCCCACGATCCCGAGCTCGGTCGCATCGCCACCAACCCGGACCAGCCATCTCGCCACGATGTCAAGCACCATTTCATCACCCAGGGACGACGCCTGGATGGGGCTCGCCCTTGAGGAGCTGCTGGATGGTCTCCAGATGGGGCATCGGCCCCAGCCTTCACTCCTCGCGCCACTCCGTGTGGCCGGAGGCCGCAGACAAATCCCGTCCGCGGAGCAGCTCTACGTCCCGCCGGATCATCGATTCGGCCCAATACGGGTGGACACCACCCCGCCACGACCACGGCCGACCGAGGCCGCCCACACGCCTGCCGACCAGGGCAAGCAGCAACTCACGGATCAAGGTCCTTTAGTTCCGCTCCGCACGACCCGGCCTCCATCGACGCAGGCCACCCAAGGGCAAGGAGATAAACAATCACCACGGGAGGCACCACAGGCAGCCGGCCCGTCGACGCGTCCGCACACCGGCCAGGTGTCCACGACGCCTACCGGCAACCAGGGGCAGCCACCACGGGCAGCACCTCGAGCAGCCGCCCCGTCGACGCGCCCGCATACCGGTCGGGCCACTACAACGTCTACCGGCCACGTAACCCCATCACCACGGGCGACGCCGCGAGTTGCCATGACTCCGGCGCGCTCACGCACCGGCCCAACTCTAACAACGCTTGGGACACGCGCAGTCCAGGCCATAGCACCGCTGGTCCCGTCAGGGGCTGTAGCGGCACCAGATCCAGACGGCGAGGAGGAAGCGGCGCTACGAGAGTGCCTAGGCGACCTTCCACCCGACGTGCTGGAGGAGATGGCCCACGGGGCAGAGGGTTTGGACATGGAGGACCTCTTCGGAGAGTCTCCCGACGAAGACGGAGTGGAGCTTCCGATACGCCCCGTCTCCGACCAATCCGCCGACGAGCCACGGACCCCGTCACCTCAATTCCAGCCGGATTACGAGGTGATCTCCAGCGACGAGGGAGAGGCGGATGAGATCATCCAGATCTCCGACTCCGACGACGCTGAGCCAAATTTTAGACCGCCGGGCACCCCGCCGCCGGCGTATGAGGACATTTTCGGGCCGGGTCCATACGCTACCAGCTGCCCGATAACCACTTGCGCGGCCTCATCACCGAGCCAGTCACCGCCGACCACGTCACGCGGATACCACGCCGCCGTCGCTCCACGCCAGGCAGATGGGCCATCGACAAGCCAACACGTCGACTTGACGACCGACGAGGACTCCGCCGACGAGAGGCCAGCCGTGGCCGTACCGAGCTGCCCCCGCTAGCAAGACCCGGCGAATACGCCGCTGCAGTGGCTCGACGCAGGGCTGAGGACCTGAGCGACGAACTGGGCTCGTCCTCCGCTGGGCCGGTTCGGCCAATCAATCCGGAGCCACGTTCGGCCAGGGACCGACCACCCACACCAGCACCGGCACGCCGAGGCCGCCGACGGAGCGCGCCCTGGGCGGATAGCCCCAGCGAATCCTCGTCCGAGGAAGAGTTGCCACGCGATCGCCAAGGTCACACCCGCTGGCTACCCGTTCCCGACGGCTGGAGCATGAACAACGGCACGCTACCCGCCGGGCTCATCAGAAGGATCCAGCAGCGACTCCTAATAGCCAGACGAAGGGCCCGACGCTATCTGGAGGAGGAACAGGGTCAGCGATCCCAGGTGCAGCTAAACCGGGACGACCACGTCCGGGTCTTCCTACACCCCACCCGGAAGTAAGGTGGGAGTGTGACGACACGACTGGTCGCCACAACCTTATAAATATATATATATGTAAATACTACCCTACAATCTAAGCTAGAATTACTTATGTACATATTATACCTAAAATTAAGACTAAAACTAAGCACACACACGCACACACACTCACACACACACGCACACCCGGCATGAAGCCCTACACACAGGATGTGTGTGAGGTCGCGATGTGCGGACGCCCGCGCGGGTTCTCCGTCAAGACTCGTGCTGTGGCAGTGCCCCTAGGGGAATAAAAAGTGGTAGCAGTACGCAGGATGCGGTGTGAGGGTAGTCTCCAGACTCACCTGTCGAGGCACGGCTCCTGCGGCCCGCGGTGGGTACTTTTGTGCCCCAATGTTATGGCGAGACGGACGACGGCTAGGGGTAAGGGGGGATCTTTCTTCCCCGAAACTTTCTCTTCCTTCTCTTCCACCGCCGCACAGTAGCGCCTCTCGAACAAAAGCCGTTGCAAAAATCGAAAAAGTCGTTGTCGCAAAAACGATTTTAACCATACTTATTCGACAGGAAATTTCCCATGGATTCAGAATCTGCTGTAAAATCAATTTTCGGATTTTTGTTGTAGAAGATATGAGCATTCAAAGTTGAACTTTGTTTCCATTTTTGCATCATAAGAAAATAAAAGGAAAAATTTGTTGACTTTCAGGTAATATTACACAAAAACTATATTACCTATCGCCATGATTTTTGCTTTAAATAATAGACACATTCATAAACTGTAACCCCATCCAAAAAAAAGGGGAATTGGGTTAGGGCTTGCACAGGTAAATCGCTACCTGCCAGGTGTCCATTTTTTTCACTTTTTTCTGGCTAAAGTAGTCTATATCTTTTTTGGATGGGCTGAGCCACTATACACACTATAACTGCGACCTTTGTGGATCTATTCTGGACCAAAATCAACTTACATCTGCTGCGTCGAGCTGCGTCCCCGGAAATGCAACAGCATAAACCAAAACTACTCAGGGTTAAATATACCAAAATACCGACTCAGCTTCATACTAACTATAAAATATACTAACTGTAGCGCGTGGCGGTTACACGTTGAAATAAAAATAAAATTTTTTTTTTTCAGTTTTCAAATTATTTTTATCTGAGCAAATACATAAAAATAAAGATAACAAATTAAATAAAAAATATTAAAAGAAAATTTTCTTCATTGAGAAAAAAATATTTCTTTACTTTGATACCCTTTAAAAAGGTGAACGAGTGGGCGTGGCAGATTTTCCAATACATATGTAAATTTTACAACAATTACCAATCAAATGGCGTTTAAATTATTTAGTTATCTTATTTTGTTCAGAAGTTATGATTTTTGCAACGTAAAATGAGAAAAGGCGCTACTGTGCGCCGCTTTCTCTCTTTGGATCATAATGTGGATGCCCCCACAAAATTGTGCCGGTCACGTCAGCTGATTGCTCGATCAGCTGGCGTGCAGTGTAGTGAAGCGAGCGCAATGCAGCTGTGTGGCAGCACTGCAGCGCCGATGCACTCTACATGCGCACATTAGCGCCACCTATTGTGTAAAAACCCCGGCACGTGACAGAAGCTGCTTGCTACAAGCTTCAGCTAACGATCGCTGCGGAAATACGTAGCATACATTCCCGGGCTGCTGCCCGAAGTCCTTGGCAAGGAGACGGAATTTGGCTATGTTTCGCAGGAAGTGAGGTTCGCTCACGTGGCCAAATGGTGGAAAAGGTCACGGATCTGACCGACTGCCATCCCCTCCGCCCTTGCGGTACACCCAAAAAGGGGCTCTGGCGACCGAGGCGGGGCGGTATAACCCCCAACATTACGTAGTCGGAGGGAAATATTCGACCAGCGAGGGAGGCCGCGTGTCGTCCCGATCTGGTGGAAGCGATCACCACACACAACGACTGAATCCACGCAGCGTCTGCTCATACTGGGCGGCTGCGCGATCTGCGTCTGCGCCATAGTGGCCGGCAGTGGAACCAACCTGGCAGCAGGTACCAGCTGCACACTACTTTAAACCCAGGTAGCGTCTGACCCACATTGGGCGGCTACTTGGTCTGCGTCTGAGCCATAGTGGCCGGCAGTCTTTAACCCACCTGGCAGGAGGTATAAAATGCAGCCCCGCATTGGGCTAAAAATGCAAAAACCAGGAATGTCGAGTAATAACAATATTACTCCAGGTGGCAGCCACAAATGTGGAAATCCACCCGCGGTTGACCCCGCGGCAAGGGCACGGATTCTGGAGGCCCTAACCCACATTCCAACCCACACTGTAGCTCCGGCGGCCCACTTGGCCGGCGCTCCTTTATCAGCGACAAGTGATGATACCAATGACTTGGGAGCCTTCCAAAAGCGGTCAAAGTTGCAGCGGACCCCACCTAGCGGCGGCTCCACGGCACCTGGCCAAGACTCGGAGAGAGTCCCGGTTCCCATCGGTCGGGAGACGAGCTCGTCAACCCCACCCTCAAAGAGAGTAAGGGACTCCCCTAGTCCCCCTGTAGCGGCCCACCCACGCAAAATGATCAAGGCGCCCAAGCCACAGATCAAGGAGATGGGATTGATACTGGACGACTTGTTAGCCAAGGTTAACGAGCAGAAAGTCCGAAGCATCAATCAGTCGATGAAGAATGCCTTTGCGCGGCTTAAGGAGCTCCAGGAAGAGCTTTCGCTGCTCGAGGGCAAGGACAAGGCTGATGGTGATGCCATCCGAGTTGTGGACCAGGGAAGCCAGACTGCTCCACCGACGACCCAAGCTAGGCCCTCGGCAGAGAAGTCAGTGCAGACGTCTCCCAAGGGTCGTCCTCGTCTCACAAGCGGTAACCCTGGTGCGGACCCCGCTGGCCGCACAAGCACGAGCTCGCGCCCCCCACCCAGGGCTCCCACTCTAAACGCCGGCAGAGCGCAGAAGCGCGCGGACAGCGAATCCGGACCGAAGGCGCGGGCCTCAACCGTGCGCCGAGAGAAAGAGGGGGAAAAATGATGCTATCATCATAACCCCCGCGGCGGAGATGTAGTATAGCGATGTTCTGAATATGGTCACGCGCACCCATGACTCCAGGATGGCAGGAGTCGGGGAGAAGGTGAACAGAGTCAGGAAAACGGCGAAGGGCGAGCTCCTAATCGAGCTGAAAAAGTCATCTGGACCTTCCCTCACCGCGCTGAAGGAGCAGATTGGAAGTGTGCTAGGCGGAGGAGTGCCGATCCGCACAGTGTCACCCCAGACCACATTCCTTATCCGGGACCTGGACGAGCTGGTAACCAGGGAGGAACTTACGACAGAGCTCGCCTCACAGGCTAACTTCCCACCTGGTTCCGTGACCATCAAGAGCATCCGCTCCCTCGCAAGTGGAGGTCAGGTGGCAACGTTCTCAGTCCCAGAGACCGTGGCTGGATCCATTGAGAGTCTGGGGAGGGTGAAAGTCGGCTGGACGAGATGTCGATTCAAGGCGATAGAATCTCGCCCCAGATGCTTCACCTGTATGGAGACAGGGCACATAGCGGCCAGATGCACCAGCACCTCCGACAGGAGCAGCTCCTGTTTCAGGTATGGCCAGGAGGGCCACAAGATAGCCGCCTGCAAGAACAGTCCGCACTGCTTTAGTTGCGCCGAGCCGAACCGTAGCGACACGAACCACCAGGTGGGTAGCCGCCACTGCCCCCTGGTGACGTCGCGTAGAGCAGACAAAACAAAAAAGGCATGATAGTGGTTCAGCTGAATCTGAACCACTGCGCGGCAGCACACGACTTGCTGTCGCAATCGATCCGAGAACGCGGTGTCGATGTCGCCGCTATCAGCGAGCCGTACAGGGTAGGCCCTGGCCCTCACTGGGCGGTGGACAGCTCTGGCAAAGCTGCCCTTTGGTCATGCGGCAACACACCCAAGCGAATGGCTGACGTTCGCTCAGAGAGAGAGGCTTCGTGCGTGCTAAGATGGCAGGCTGGTGGATGTATAGTGTCTACCTGGCACCGAGCATGTCACTTGCGGAATTTGGGGACGCCGTGGATCGGCTAGTCACAGACGCGAGAGGCCACACACCATCACTTATAGCCGGTGACTTTAACGCGTGGGCGGAGGAGTGGGGTAGCTCCCTCACTAATGCCAGAGGCAGGACCCTCCTCGAGGCCTTCTCCGCTTTAGACGTCACCCTCCTCAACACTGGGGCGCAGCCCACCTTTAGCAGAGCCGGGGCGAGTTCGGTGATTGACCTCACGTTTGTGAGCTGCTCCAGGGCTAGCCAGTGCACCTGGGTCCTGAGCGACGCCTACACGGGGAGCGATCACGCAGCGATCCTCACCGCGCTGGACACTCGGCGTGCGCACCCAACACCGCTGCCTCCTCCAGCACGAAGGGGTTACAAGGCCGACACTCTGGACATCCAATCCTTTGCAGAACACATGCAGAGACTGGAAGCAAACGGCTGTGCAGAGCAGATGGCGGAGTCTGCTATGAACCAGCTGCAAGCCGCATGCGATAACTGCATGACTGCCAAGCGCGCCCACTCTCGTCACAGGGACTCGGTGTACTGGTGGAACCATGCTATTGCCGCGGCCAGAACGGAGTGCATCAAGGCGAGGCGCCGCTACCAGCGCTCCTACCGCTCGAGCTCCCACCTGGAGAGGCGGTCCGAGTACCATCGGTGCCGCAAGGCACTTAAGGCGGCAATCCGGGAAAGTAAAACTAAATGTTTCCTGGACCTGTGCGACACCGCGGACCGCGATCCCTGGGGGAACGCCTATAGGATCATCGTCAAGAAGATCCACGGGGCAAAACAGGGCGCCCCCCACGACGCGGAGAGCATCGACAGGATTGTCGAGCACCTATTCCCGAGGGCGGATAGCCCCAGAGCCACGCTGGAGACGGCTACACACTCACTGGAAGGATTCGAGCCAGTCCTGGAGGCGGAAATCCTGGCAGCGGCGACGAAAATCAGAGAGGCGAAAGCCCCAGGCCCCGACCTCGTCCCCAACAGAGTCCTGAGACTTGCTCTTTCGCT